CTGTAAGTCTGCTGAAGGCGGCTGGCGAAATGCTGGCAGTCCGGATGCTGCTACACAAATGTGTGAGTCTATGGAGTCTATGTGCTGTGATGGAGAATTTAGGTGTGTATGTGTGTGGCTCTCTCTCTCTCTCTCTCTCTCTCTCTCTCTCTCTCTCTTCCCCTCGCTCACTAACTTCGAAACTGGTCCAAGCACAAGCTGACATCTGTTAGAACATGTCCGAATCTCGCCGAGGAGCGTCGGAGTCCCTATAAGGGAAAAGATCGGCGCTTGGTTCGGCAGAGTTTGCGAAACCTTAGGTCCAAAACCCCTGAGGCCTGTAAATCTCTTTCACCCGATATCCCGATTGCACTTTTGCACTTGTTGGGACTTTGGCTTCAGTACCTATGGCCCAGCGGCGCTGGCTCTGCCGCTCTGCCCTGAATATTGAAACTATAAACTCTAAAACCTGAAGCCCTTTGATTCCTTATCGCCCTACTGGAGATTTCAGACCTAGCCTAAGCCTTTCCTGTTGCGTAGCGGCGCAGGATCTGCCGCCTTAGCTGTAAATATTGAAACTATAAACTCTAGAACCTGAAGCCCCTTGTAATTCAATGCCGCTCTACTGGAAATTTCAGACCTAGCCTAAGCCTTTCAAGCGGCGCAGGATCTGCCGCCTTAGCCGTGAATATTGAAACTATAAACTCTCGAACCTGAAGCCCCTTGTAATTCAATATCGCTCTACTGGAGATTTCAGACCTAGCCTAGGCCTTTCAAGCGGCGCAGGATCTGCCGCCTTAGCTGTAAATATTGAAACTATAAACTCTCGAACCTGAAGCCCCTTGTAATTCAATGTCGCTCTACTGGAAATTTCAGACCTAGCCTAAGCCTTTCAAGCGGCGCAGGATCTGCCGCCTTAGCCGTAAATATAGAAACTATTAACTCTAGAACCTGAAGCCTCTTTTAATTCAATGCCGCCCAAACCACATGTAGTCTAAGCCCTTCCTGTTTCGTAGTGGCACAGGATCTGCCGCCTTAGCCGTAAATATTGAAAGCAAGCTCTAGAACCCGAAACTAGACTGGAAAAGCCGCAACAACGCTTAAACTCCGCCCTGCAGCCAGCGCCCTGCCACCACTAAGACGAGCTAGAACCTCAAGCCCTAGCCCAAATCAAAGCCATGAGCCCTGCACATATCCATATCCGACGAGATTCTTGACATTGAAGCCAGCCCAGTAAGCCAGCCCTCAACGATCACCACCCGTATGTCAAGTCTGGGACGCATCCGGCAGATTATCGGAAACGCGGCCGTTCATCAATGCTGTGAGCTTGTAACACAGTTCCTTGGACCAACAGCCGCCCAAGTAATGAAATATTAAGTGCCTCCGGCACGAAGACAGCGCCGAAACTCGCCCAAGTAATGTTTCGGCCTAAAAGATTACTTGGGCGGGCTGGGCGGGTTTCGGGCGGGGTCTCTAGGGTTTTAAAAGGGTTTTGGGCCGGGTTTTACAGGGTTTACGACGCGGTTTAAGGCTTTTTAGGGTTTTAGGGTTTAGGGTGTGGGTTTTAGGGTTTAGGGTTTAGGGTGTTCCGGGTTTTCGGCATGGCTTGGGCTTTAGGCCTGTATTTGGGTTCAGGATAAGGCTTGGGGCCTGGGATTCAGCTTAGCGGGCGGGCTTCAGGGTTTAGGGTTTAGCTTAAGGTTTAGGGTTAAGCTTAGGGTTCAGCTACCTCTGGGCATAGGGTTGTAGGACTAAGTTTAGATTTAGGGTTTAAGCTTCATGGGTCATACGGTTTAGGGGTTCAGGTTTGGATGTCATAAGGTTGAGGGTTTAGGCTGTTCTGGGCATTTGATTTAGGGTTTAGGGCGGAGCAGGACTTGTGTGCCTTCTTGCACACGACCGAACCGACGATGGGCCGCCACTGCCATTTGCCGCCTGTGCCCTGTGGGTTGCCTACATACATCCCCACATACGTACACATACATACATACATACATACATACATACCTACATACCTACAGACTACATGCATACATACATGTACATATACATACACACACACACACATGTACATACCTCTGGTGTGCTCGTGTTTCTTTGTCGTGGTGTGACTGGATGGTATGAGTTTTCAGACCAGAACAATAAACTGTTTGTTCGGAATGACAAAGGAAACTCCTAAAAATAGGTTTCATCGGATCCAAACCAATGCTTTTCTGTCCATGCAACCGAAAGAAAGACACTTTCATTTTCTGTTTTCTGAATTGATGGGGGCGTTTAACTCACGTTATTCTGTTGCCATTCCTTCGTCCTGATCCAGGAACTCCTGATCCAGGAACCCAGTAATATGGCCGACAGACCCAAAGAGCCTTTCTAAGGCCACCCAAGCCTTGCATGGTAGCGGAGCCGGACGTCTAAGGGACTCCGTGCTCACCTTCTGCGGGTCGCCCCACGAAGGTAAGGGACGCGGGCAAGCCCCGCTCCCTGGTGGTTGCGGGTCAGCCCCGCACCACACGTGACCGCGGGAAGTCCCGCGTCACAGGAACCAGCTGCGGGCCGATCCGCGCTGGTGTGGGAGCATAGTCCTCCCGAGTGCTGCTTATAGGCAGCAGGTAGACCGCCAAGACGGCGGGTCGAGGTCGCGGCAAAGGAAAGCCGGTGACCAAGAAGAAGAACAAGAGGGGGAAAAGAAGTGAAGCGGCCACCTCTAGGAGGCAGGACCGTGGGCAGGCCAGAAGGTTGTAGTTGTTGAGGAGTGGCAGGAGCCACCAAGAAGCCACAGGGCAGCCGCTGATCCCTCGGCCCGGGGGTCAGCTGAGGCAAGGGGCCGAGGTCGTACTCCAAGGCGGGTGGTTCTAACTTATAGCCTGGAGGAGGCTCAGGAGCGAGACCGGATCCTCGGGACGACCGCGGCCAAGAGCCAAGCAAGGAAGCCCAGGCAGACAGAGGCTGGGTACGAGAAGATCAAGTGGAAGAAGGAGAGGCGACGAAGGAAGGAAAGGAGCCGCCTCGACCTTCGATCGGTTCCTCGGGAGGCTCAGGCAAATCGGGTCCTGAGGTCGGTAGCGCCGACGCGAAGCAAGCAGGCTTCGGGGCGCAAGAGGGACTTAGAGGAGTTCCTGACCGAGCAATCCGCTCGCTTTGCGCAGCAGAGGTTCCGAGAGAGAGTGGAGACCCAGGAGGCGATCAGGAAGAGGCTTCCTAAGGGCAGTGTGGGCGAGGTATTGCTTAGGCAGCGGGTCGGCGAAGCTTGCAGTACCTGCAGGACCAGGCGTCGCAAGGCCGCCCCGGCTGTGCGCAACTACGTGCTTAGGAGGTTTTCTCCTAGGCATTGGCCCAAAGGGTTGCGGAGGCCAATCGGCACCGCACCGAGCCCCGACCAAAGGGGACCGCTCGAAAGAGCAAGGCCAAACCAAAGGCCACATCAGCTCCTCTCAGGACGAGGACGAGGAGAGCAGTGAGAGCTCGGATGGAGATGGAAGCGGGGTTGATTGGGACCCCCCAAGCTCCCCAGATGGCCCAACAGGCGGGCCAGGTTCCGCTGGAGCAACAGCTCCAGCAGCAGTTGCAGCAAACTAACCTGATGCTGCAGCAAATGAACAACAGGCTGGTGACTCAGGAGGCCCAGCTGTTGCAGCTGCAAGCGTCAGGATTGGCAGCCCGGGGAAGGCAGAGCACCTTCGATACCGACATGCCGGGCCCAAGCCATCCACCGGCCCCAAGGGCCGGCCTGGTAGACACCAGGCAACTCGGGAAGCCCGAGGTTTTCAAAGGGTCCACGGAGGAAAGCTTTAGTGACTGGTCGTTCATCTTTGAGTCTTACCTTAGCTGCATCGACTCGAGGTACATTGACCTGCTGGAGCAAGCAAAGTTTTCCAAGAAGAGCTTCCCGAACAGGGCTCTTTCGGATGTGGACCGGGACCTTTCTTGCCAACTCTATTATATCTTGGTGATGCTCCTGCGCGGTAGGCCGCTTGACATCACTTACAACACGGGCCTCGGAGAAGGTCTTGAATCCTACCGGCGCATCTTCGAGGAGTTCCACCCGAGGGTTGCGTCACGCTATGTGGGCACCCTCACAACGTTGCTTTCAAGCAAGTTTGGTGATGATGTTGAGGGGGACTTAGCGGCTTTCGAAAAGAGCGTTCGGAGGTATGAACAGGAGAGCGGCAAAACACTGGATGAGGAGATGCTTTTGGGCATTGTGGTGAATGGGCTAAAGGACAGCAGCCTGCAAAGCCACATCATCCGGAACTCAAGCCGGCTCAAATCCTTTACGGATGTGAAGGCGGAACTTTTGGAGATTTCGAGGACCAACCGCGTCCTGCAGAATCTCCCGCAGCCAATGGACCTTGGAGCTGCACCGTGGAAAAAGGGCAAAGAGAAGGGCAAGGGCAAAGACAAAGGCAAAGGCAAAGGCGACAAAGGGGGTAAAGGCCAAGGCTCAGACAAGCAAAAGCCCCAAGGCGCAAACCCCAACAAGGACCGTGAGGGTTGGTACTGCCATAAGAAAGGGCATGTAGAAGCCGAGTGTCGCAAGAAACAAGCCGATGCCAAAGCCAAGCCCAAAGCTAAAGCAAAAGGTGGAGGGAAGAACCGCACACCTCATGCGGCTAGCCCCGCTGAGGGCGAGGAGGAACCAGAGCCCATGTCTGCATCGCCTCAGGAGCCGGACCTTTGCTTTGGTGTGGTGGCGGCAACGCCCAGCACCGAGGACAGTGAGACCGAGGTTCTTGTAGATACGGGGGCAGGGTCTCACCTGTTTCGGAAAGGGTTTGACTCCGGTGCTTTGTTGGGTTCTCGTGTTTCTGGGCCTGGAATGGTTACCGTTACGGGTGAGCCCTTGGCTAGCGACCAGAGGCTTAGGAGCCAGCTCGAAACCAGTGCTGGGACCTTTTCGGTAGAGTACGCCGAGTCTGAAAAGGTTAGGCACCTGGACGGTGATTGGCCCCGGTGTGCAGTGTATGGTTCTAGATAAGCATGCGTGTAAGCTTAGGAAAGCCCTAGGAGAGACCAAAGACACGATGCAACTCAGAAAGAAGAGAGGGGTATTTTGGCTCCCAGTGAACGTGGTGAAAGAAAGTGAAAGGGTTGAAGACCCAGACGTGTTAGCAGCTACGAGGGCTGCTAAGAAGACGGTGCCAGCAAAGGCGCTGGCAGGTGAAGGCGAGGAGCCTGGTGAAGCGGGTGACTCCGCTCAGCCGGGCCAAAGCTCAAGTGCGGGCGGCCCCGCCGATGCGGGGAGTTCCGCTGCGAACCCTGGTGCGGGTAACTCCGCCGGTGCAGGGAGTTCTACTGACGGCCCTGGCGCGGGTGGCCCCGCCCAGAGGCTTCCGGAGATTGGCGACGTGCCAATGGAAGTGTCTGAGGCCACGCGGCGGCCGAAGACAAAGAAGATCCCGGACACGGTTAGCAAAGCCGAGTTTGACGAGCATATGCTTACGCATCTGCCCATGCGAAGCTGGTGCGATCACTGCATGCACGGCAAGGTGCGTGAGGATGCGCACTCAGCTCGGGAGCCCGGTCGCGCGTCGGAGGTGGCGCGCATCTCCCTGGACTACTGTTTTCTGGGACGGGCCTTGAAGGGCCCAGTGAACTCCGTGGAGGAGGTCAAGGTGCCTCAGGATGAGAAGGATGGTCTCCTTCCCATTCTGGTGATCGTGGACGAAAAGTCCGGTTGTGTTTTCTCTGGTGTGGTGGCTAAGGGCGTTAACCCGTATGCCACTGGATTGGTGACTGAAGCGCTCAAGTTCTGCGGGCGCCAAAAGGTCATCATGATGAGCGATGCTGAGCATAGCATCCGGGCACTTGCTGAAAGTGCGCCAAGTCCTGGACTGGCAGCGTGCAGCACCAGACTGCACCGAAAGGTTCTCACGCATCTAACGGCGCGGCCGAGCGAGCCATTTTGGAGCTGGCGCGTCAGGTGCGAACTCTTGCGAGCGCGCTGGAGAATCGCTACAAGAAGCCCCTGGAGACTGAGGGGGTTGTCTTTCCGTGGTTGGTGCGGCACGCAGGGTGGCTCATCTCCCGTTTCTTGGTGAAGCAGGACGGGAGAACACCTTACGAAAGGCTTCGAGGCCGGGAATTCCGCGGCGAAGTTGCTGAGTGCTGCGAGGTCGTGCACTACAAGCTTGACAAAGAGAAGACTGGCAAGCTGGACAAGCAAACGTCAGTTGGAGTTTGGCTAGGCAAGTCTCTTGCCTCCGACGAGCACTTCCTGGGCACTGCTCAGGGGATCCGTCGGTGCAGAAGCATCTGGCGAAGGCCAGAAGAGAAGAGGTGGGAGCTGAAACACCTCGAGGGGATGGTTGGGCTTCCCTGGCAACCGCGCGGAGAGCCAACCACCGTGCCTTCAGACAACAAGGCCCCAGCGACTCCAGGTCGCAGGCAGCCCTCGGTGTATATCACCTTGGAGCGTCAGATCAAGCACGGCAAGACACCCGGATGTCCTGGCTGTGAGTGTGACGATGACAACCCAAAGCGACACAACGACGAGTGCCGTAAGAGGTTCGAGAAGTTGTACCCGAGGCAACCGGTGCCAGGCACGCCTGGTACACCAGTCCCTGGGACACCTGCGGGACCCATGGAGACTGAACGAGGTCAGGCCGAGATGCCCCAGGGCACCGGCCAAGACTTGGAGTCGGGAAGCACCGAGCCGAGTCAGCCTTCAAGGCCAAGGGCCATGGAGGGGACTTCTGAGGCTAAGTCAGGCCAGAAGCGAGAGGTTGAGGATGCGGGTGTCCCCGCTCCTTCAAGTGACAGCGGGCAGCGCCGCGTTACTGGAAAGAGCTCACAAGGAGCGAAGAAGCAGAAGACGCCAGAAGCAAGAGGTGAAAAGCGTCCTCTTGAGGACCAGGAGTTGATGGGGGGACTGCCCACGCTCCACGAGAAAGGCGAGTGGGAGCCTTTGTTTGCTTACCCTCTGGACGGCAGAGTGGAGGAGCTTGGTGCCTACGACGAGCGAACAGGCCAGCCCCTTCCCGTTGACAAGGTCAAGACTGCAAGAGGGCGCGAGCTGGACAAGATGGAGGAACACTCTGTCAAGAAGGACATCTCTTGGGAGGAGGCGCGACGGCAGGGGCTAAAGATAGTCCGAAGCCGGTGGGTGGATGGTTGGAAACCATTGCCCAATGATCCAAATGGGGTGCGCAGCCGCTGCGTAGCCCAAGAGATCAACGACCACGAGCGCGACGACGTTTTCAGTGGAACACCGCCGTTGCGGACGCACCGCATGGTACTTTCAGCTGCAGCCACTGCAAAGGCTGGCAGGACCAACCGGCGCAAGCTTATTGCCCGGTATGATGTTTCTGTTGCCTTTTTTCATGCGGTGGCCACGGGCAAAATTGCGGTCGTCCCTCCGAAAGATCTCGATCAATCGAAGCTCTGGTACTTGCTCAAAGCCATGAATGGCACACGTGAGGCTTCGCGACAGTGGTCAAAGCGCGTGTGTGAGGTCATGACGGAGGCAGGTTTCTGGGAGGTTCCAGGAATCCCTGGCCTCTTCTACCACGACGAGTGGTGTGTGACCTTGAGCTGCCACGGCGACGACTTTATCGCCGAGGGCGAGAGCGACGATCTGGATCGACTGGATGCGCTGATGATGCAATCCTTCGAGAGCAAGATATTGCCACGGATTGGCCCTGAGGAGTTCGGGGGCCAGACCACGCATGGTGATCATCTACACCGCATCATTCGATGGAGCGAGCGCGGGTTCACTTGGGAAGCTGACCCTAAGTACTCGCGGCAGATCGTTGAGGAGCTCGGGCTTACGGACGCTAAGGGCGCAGACGCCCCATGTTCTACGGAATGTGGGAAAGGCCGCAGGGATCTCGAAGATCCTTTGGACACTGAGGCTGCAGCGAAGTTTCGGAGACTCGCTGGTACTGCGCTTTACCTATCCCAGGATCGCCCGACGATCCAGTATGCCTTGTCGGAGATCACCTCTGGCATGGCAAAGCCTACGGTTGAACACGAGCTCAAGCTCAAGCACCTAGGCCGTTACCTTCTGAAGTACCCGAAGGAAGTTTGGCACTACGAGTACCAGGAGCAGCCTGAGGAAGCTGTGGTGCTTACGGACTCGGACTGGGGAGCGTGCAAGCGCACGCGCAAGTCTATGTCCAGCTACGCTGAGAGATTTGGGAAGCATCTCATCGATGCTTCGTGTGCCAAGCAATCGGTGATAGCGCTCAGCTCTGGAGAGGCTGAGTTTTACGCGTTGGTGCGAGGAGCTGCCGCCGGACTGCTGACAGCGCAGATCTGGGAACGGATTGGGTTTAAGGGTTTGAAGCTTACCCTGAGAACCGATTCGAGCGCAGCGAAGGGAATCGCGACACGCAAGGGCTCGGGCAAGGTGAAGCACTTGTCCATGAAGGAGCTTTGGATACAGGACTGTGTTCAGAGAAAGCAGCTTACGGTGCAGAAGGAACCTACGAAGAGTAACTGGGCCGACTTGGGCACGAAAGCTCTTTCAGGCTCAAGAGTGACAGAGCTAGTCAAGGGCATGCCTCTCACAAGGGGCTTGGTCATGGCGTGCCTGTTCGCGTCCTTTGGCGTGGCTACGGGGCAGCCGAAGGAGCGCCAGCTCGAGACTGAAGACGTTTCCTTCTTCATCTACATGCTGATCATCCATATCTTGGCGATCCAGACCATTTGGCGATGGATCAAGTTTGCGTTTGTGTGGTGGACCACGCCACGTGTTTCAACGAAGCCGGCCCCTACAGCTGGAGGCCGCGTGGACCGACGAGGTCTAGAGGCGAATGCGGGTAGCCCCGTCTACGTCACCCGTAAGGGCAAGAAGTTTCATAGGAGACACTGTAGACACCTGGGCCAAAACCCGTACACGTTGCAGAGGGCTGAGGCTACGCAAAGAGGCTTTGGTCCTTGTACAGACTGCAACCCGTGAGTAGTGCAGGTCAGCTGTCCAGCTCAAGGATTCAGCTGGCCATGGAGGGGTGTCAGGATATAAAGCATGTTCTGACTACTGCCGTTGTATAGCTGTACTTGGTAGCCCCTTTTGGCACGAGGTGAGTAAAATAAGTAGCCTGTGCCTGCGGTGTGTGTGGTTTGAGGGTTAACCTAAACCCTTGCAAGGGTTCACCCGGGCGCCTAAAATGTGTAACTTTACCTCGCGTTTGAACGCCCGAGGCAGCGAATCCCTGTGAAGGGTTCACCCGGGCGCCTAAAATGTGTAACTTTACCTCGCGTTTGAACGCCCGAGGAGGCGAATCCCTGGGAAGGGTTGCATTCCCGATGGACGACAACGGTGCCACCCCCTGGCTTTAAAAGAGAGAATTAGATACCGAGATGTAGAGAGTAAGTCATAGAGGCATAGAGTCAAGTAAGCAAGCAAGTAAGTCAAGCAAGTAAGTAAGTAAGTCAAGTAAGTCAAGTAAGTAAGTAAGTAAGTAAGTATAAGTAAGTAGATAGCATAACATAGAGTCCAGTGTCAAGTGTCAAGTAAGTAAGTAAGTAGAGTGAAGTAAGTAAGTAAGGAAGTCGTAAGCATAACATAGAGTCAAGTATCAAGTGTAGAGTCAAGTATCATAGAGTCAAGTGTCAAGTGTAGAGAGTCAGTCATAGAGGTCAAGTAAGTAAGTAAGTATCAAGTGTAGAGTCAAGTATCAAGTGTAGAGTAAAGTATGGAGTCAAGTAAGTTGATTCTATGTCTGTCATCTATGTACTCAGCTGCGGCGTTCCACACGGAAGAACCCTTCGCGATGCTTTCGGGAAAAACTGAGGTCCAAAAAGGGACCATGATTTTGACAGCCACCCATATGATAGGGTTACAATAAGAACCCACAAAAAAGTAGGTCATGGTAGGTTAATGTAGGGTCTAGCAAGGTTGGGGGCTTATCAGCTTGAAAGAGCTCAACATCTCTTTATAACGGGTCACATCCCTAAACCTAATTCAGATAGTTCACCTTAATCCCAGAGCCCCTTAAAACCCGCAGTCCTAATGCCCTAGACCCTAAACCTTGAAGTACAACTCGAGATTGCGAAAGCCTGAAGCCCATGGGTTAGATCTTTATGGTTTAATATGGGGGCCTTAATAATTAACATAGGGTTTTAGGATGTTTTGCGCATACTTGTATTGAGGAACCCTGAAAATAGTATTGGAAACCCCCAAATCCCAAAAATCCCTACTAACCCCTAAAACCCCTAAACCCTGAGGCCCGTGTCTCGGGCATTTACGTTTCAGTATCAAGTCCTGCATTAATTCCGCTCTAACCCTAAACACTATACCTTAAACAGTGCAAGCATCACTGGTTGGATCTTCATGATTTATGCCTTCGGGAGGTGGCCGGCTCCCCCCGCCCCCCCGTCGCCGTGGGGCATGGCGGAGCCCCCGAAAGGGCAAGGCGGGCGGAACTTGATCCGAGTGCCTAATATAAGGGGGCTAAATGATTACCGATACAACTTCGGGGATTCCTCATTATATTTCTGGTATAATGGTCCCAAAACCCTGTTCTAATTATTAAGGCCCCCAAAGCAGGGTTTGGGGTTGTGTGATGGTTTAACGTTAATGGTGCTGGGTTCCTAAACCCGAAACCCTAAACCCCTGAGCATTCACGGTGAAGCCGAAGACGGAGTTGCGCCAGGGGCATTTCTTCCCGTATCTAAACGTGGGTAGTTCTCTGACGTTGGGTCCCTTTTAGGGTCCTTCCTATCAGGGTGCCGTACTATTTGGGGGAGCTAAAGAAGTGGGACCGAAATTTGAATCGAAGAACTAGCCATATCAGAAGTAGTCTGTGGGCCTAGCTGGTCACAAGGATGTTGATAGCTTCATTGTAGAACGATATGGTGACCGCCCAGAAGCGATAACCCACCGATAGATTGGGTGTTGGTGTTTTGGAAAGTATAGCTTCATGTGTTAAGCAGGGTCTGTGCGGTGGATGGGTTCGACGAGCCCACATGTGACAGGTTTGTACGTCACGCCGGAGGGTTCAGAGATTGGCACTGGTGCTCTGCTACAACTGCAAGCCGACAGCGAACGCACGTTTCGATTTGCGTCATTCTCTGTTGTCTGTGCGATAAGCTAGTGCCAGAGGCCACTTGGCAGAAAGGTATTTTCCGGACCCTACGCGGCGAAGGCCAGCGCTTTTCGTCGGAATCCCGCGCCCTATGGATGCAGCGCGCATGGGAGCAGCGCCATCGCTCTGCAGGGGCCTTCGATCGAGCCAGGGGAGACCGACGAAGTATTGTAGAATTATCGCGTGTGGCTCGCGGCAGGTGGCTCGGAGATAGCCCTGCCGTGCAAGCGGAATATGGGGCTCTAAATAAAAACAAATATGTTTTGGGGGTTCCTTATTATCATTATATTATAATCAAGACCCTATTCCAATTATTAAGGTCCCTACAATACCTTAAGCTACGAAAACCTGCTTGTTTGTAGGGTCCCCATAAATTCCATATTAAGGTTTTTGATAAGAACCTACAAATTTGTAGGGTTTGGTAGGAAAAGGTACTCTCCTATTTTGATCAGCGTTTCCAACGGGCCCGTGCAGCCAGCCGCCGGAAGCGGTAGGCTGAAAAGGAGGGCCTAAACCCCAAACCGTTCCTAAGCCCTACTTAAAGGATCATGGGACTTAGTAACTGGGGTTATAATTATTGTAACTATACTTACAACTACTTATAGACAACTACTTATAGCCCCACTTAAGGTACTTATAACCTTACTTACAAAGTCCCAGGATCCTCCAAGCGGTCCCTAAGATCTGACAAAGACGGTCAATCAGACAGGAGTCCAGTACCACCTTAATATCAGCCTTGTCCTTTTTCATTCATGGTTCCCCCAAAAGAATAAACAGACCGGCTAGTAGACCTTCTTAAATAACTCCTACTAAGGGATATAGGTATAGGGCTCTGTCTATTATTTCTAAAAGGACATGGGTGCTTAATATAGGGGCCGCAATAATCAGAATAGGGTTGGGGGGGTAGATACCCTAATTAATCTCTAACTCGGATCTGAAAAAAGACGGTCAAAGATCCCAAACCCTGAACCCTTTGATCGGCAAGAAGACGGTCGAACACTCGTTGCATCTGGCTTAGGGTTTGGCAGGGTTCATTGATTATCTTTATCGCCAGTCCCTCGCAGTCGGCTTTTCTCAGCGATTTCGCATGCTGCGATGTCGGCTTTTGATGCTTTAACGCCGGAGGAGGGTCTTACTTGAAATCTTGGGGCTTGTTCAATATCGGCAAAACACCTCTCAATACTCCCTGGTGCTTAGTAGGGAATGGATCCCTATAGTAGCCCCTATTTAATCCCCAATAGTCGCTCTCCATAACCCATTCCCCCATTCCCGACTAAGAACCAGACAGAATAAGGCCTTGATTGGGGGATCCAAGGTAAACCTGATCCTTTTGCGCCTTAAACCTCCGAATTCCCGAGCTCCTCGTTGATGCGAAAGCAAAATATCACCAAAAAAGTCACGATGCGACCCTGAACCCGAAACCCTAAACCCCTAAACCCTCAACTCTAAACCCTAAGCCCGTAAACCCTAACCCCTAAACTCTAAACCCTAAACCTCTAAACCTCGAAACCCCTAATCCCTTAAACTCTAAACCCTACACTCGAATCCCTAACCCCTGAACCGTAAACCCCCAAACCCTAAACTCTACACCCGAACCCCTAAACTTGAAACCCCAAACCCCTAAGCCCCTAAACTCTAAACCCTAACTCTAATCCCTAACCCCTAAACCGCAAACCCCCAAACCCTAAACTCTACACCCAAACCCCTAAACTTGCAACCCCAAACCCCTAAACCCCTAAACTCTAATCCCTAACCCCTAAACCGCAAACCCCTAAACCCTAAACTCTACCCCTAAACCCTAAACCCCTAAAGCCTAAACCCCTAACCCTTAAACCCTAAACCCCTAAACCGTAAACTCTAAGCCCCAATCCCTAAACCCCAAACCTTTAATAATCACCCTAAACCCTAAACCCCCAATCCCTAAACCCCTAAACCCTAAACACCGAAACTCTAAACCCAAACACAAAGAGAGAGACTGGCCTTGCCGAGCGTTGCGGACGTCATATGCTGGGGTTTAGGGTGTAGGGGTTTACGGGTTTGGGGGTTTAGGGGTTGAGGGTCTGGGGGTTTTGGGAGTTTAGGGGGTTTAGGGATGCTAACTCCATGTTAAAACCGCTGCTGTTTAGGTGTTCTGGTTTTCGGTTTCGGTCAACCGAGGTTGACCTCCAAGTAGAGTAGGCCCTTATTCCCTTGTTTAGGGTTCAGGTTTCCTTATAACACCCTTTAAACCAAAAAGGGCACCCTTGTTTTTCCGAGGTTACTCTTAGGTCTTAGGTCTAGTTGAAGAGTCTCCAGATCCGCTGTTTGGGAGTTTAGATCCGCAGCTGTTTATGTCAATACCACACATCCTGGGGCCTAAACCCTACGGCATAAAATCACCGCTCAAACCGGGCTGAGTCCTTTTTGAAGCAGAACCCGAAAACTTGAACCCCAACTCCATCCAAATCCTATACTGTGAACCCTCAGGCATGGAGGGATTTGCCAACTTCCCCTCAAGCGGACCAGCCGCACCAGTCGATGGGCAGAAAGGCCCGATTCCCAGAGGGAGACGAACTTCCCTCAGTGTTGGTGCGGGTTCGGATTTTGGTTCAGGGTGTTAGGGTCATGGGCTTCCGTGTTCCGGGTTCAGGTTTGAGGATGCATATAAATCTAGGACCTAGAGTAGGCCCTTATTCCCTTTTTTAGGGTTCAGGTTCCCTTATAAGCCCCCTTAAACAAAAAAGGGCACCCTTTTTATTCCTAGGTTACTCTTGGGTCTAGTATAAATATCGATCTGTCTATCTATCAATCCACTTAGGCATCACACCACCTATCTATCGACCGATCCAATTTAAACGCATCCCAGCCAAGCTATGTTAATATAGTCTATCTG